AAAATGAACTTAAGTTAAATTTAACTTAACAGACACATACTGACGGAGATGAGCCAATGTTACCTTGAATGGGATTACATTGGTGCTGAGTCAATCTACCACTTATGTAACACTTATTGATTAAGTTTAATAATACATCTATGTTGTACAACATCAGCAATCATACTACTATTATACAGACAGACAGAAGTAAAAGTAATGATTCGTTTTTAGCGATGTCATGCTTTTCTTAGAATTCGAAATATACCTGAAATACATATGTGAGGTATATAACGATAATATTCACTTTTATCCAAAGTGCGTTTTTCTTTTCTTAAAGGCAAAATGAATATATTTTCCAAGATTATTTAGTTCCTTAACATTATTTATACTTAACAGTTGCACAAGTTTGAAAACGCTTGGTGATTTATAATAGTACCTTTTAATATACCTTTGTCTAATTTCTATATAAAATGGACATTGCAGTATAAAATGGAACTCGTCTTCAATTTCAAAACTTTGGCAACGTTCACATATTCTGCGTCTTTTATCAATGTTGTGATAGCGGCCATTTTCGATTTTTAACTGGTGTGATGACAATCTAATACTGGCTATAGATTTTTTATATATATTATCAAGAGGTTTCAGTAAATAATATTGCATGCAAAAATGATCAATTAGATGTTTGTATAGGTCACCTCTGGCAGCATTTATAATTCTTGCTCTCATTTCCTGGGTGTAACAATCTTTAAATCGTTGTTCTACTACTTTGTACATATTTCCATTTATAGCATCACTAGTCCAAAAGTAAGATAAACCAAGTTTATCTAGTTCTTGTTTAATATTGTTTATCCAATCATCATTCATTATTAATCGCTCTTCTAAACATGTGGCCAATATACAATTTTTGGATTCTTTTAATTTTAACCAGTATTTTATAACTTTTAACTTTCTATTTATGTAACGTGACTGTCTACCAAGCTCGTAATATACAAAATCAGTACCTGTACTTTTTTTGACACCAAGCAATCGTTTACAAAACCCAGAATGGAGCTTTTCTATCTCTGGTGCTTTGTGAAAGCCCCATATCTCGCTTCCATACTCGAGTATGCTGTTGACATATGTATCAAACACTGAACAT